GAGAGAGAGAGAGATCTTGAACAAGGGAAGAGATAAAAAAAAAAAAAGTGGTATTTTTTTTAAGATGTGGGCTATTGTCTAGAAGCCCAATTTCATTAGTATTTTTTTTTTATATGATTGTACTCAAAAGAAAAAAAAAATTTGTATTTTGCAAGTTGGGTGTTTCTTCTCATCCACACCCAACTTGAGGGGGAGAGTAAAAGAGATATGGAGATGAGATGAGTAGAAATGAAGTCAACATCTCTAAAAGATAATAGAGATGAAGTCAACATCTCTAATGTAACCGCTATGTGGACAAAAAAATTCAGATTCTGGATCAGTTCAACTACTATACAAAAGAAAGTTATGGTTGATGATCAAGAGTTTTGTTTCTAAATGAGGAGATGAAGATGATCGAATTTCTCGATCCTGGTTGATGATCAAGAGTTATGTCTCTAGATGAGGAGATAAAGATAATCGAATTTCTCGATCCTAGTTGATGATCAAGTTTTTCATTACTTGATCATGTTTGATGATGAAGTTTTTCGTTATTCCATCTTGTGTGATGACCATTTTCTTTTAGAGAGAAAAAGCTTCTAGAAAGAAAAGAAGCCTTTGAGAGAGAAGATCTTCAGAGAATAAGACCCTAAAGAGATTAAGTTTCTAGAAGAAAGTAGAGAGCCCAAGAAAGGTTCTTTCTTGGAAGACCTTAGAGAGAGTCTCTAAAAGAAAGTCGAGAGTCCAAGAAATGTTGTTTCTTGGAAGAACCTAGAGAGAGAAAGTCTCTAGAGAAACTAGAGAGCCCAAGAAAGATTGTTTCTTGAAAGATAAAGTAGAGAGCCCAAGAAAGGTTGTTTCTTGGAAGACGATGATAACCTATAAAATTTATCATGGATTTGATTACTACTCATTTTTTTTGCAACTTAGTATTGTTCAAACTCCAGCTGCTTTGAGGGGGAGTGTTAGGATATTGATATCTCGGTTCATATTGATATATATCATTAAGGATGTATAGATATATATATCTTGATAAGGGTAGGTATCTTGAAGATGGAGACCAAGTTACTTGGTCATCAAGTTATCATATCATAATTATCTCCTCTAATTTGTGTGATTGTCTTCTATATATGAAAGTACTTATTGACGTACACATTTATCTAAAATAGTGAAGATGTAGCTAATTAGGCTTTGGATCCGTGGATATAAGGCTTCGGCCTGAATCACGTAAATATTGTATTAGCTCTTCTTCTCTCTCCATGCTCCTCTCCATTCAATTTTTGTACATGTATACTACCACAA